GAAAAAGCATAAAAATATTTCAAAGTATTCTCACCGAATAAAGGATTGAGATCACTAGTTCAGTTATGACCAATTCGCTATGTTCACTGATGAACACGTGGTACAGTGGTAGAAACTGCATGCAGACGTCAAATGAGTAATGGGTCGATTCTCGCCTAAGAAATGTTTTATATTTTCGAGCACCAAGAAATTTTCAGTGGAAACTAATTCTTTTTTTTCTCCAAAAATTTTTTCTCAGGATGAAAGCAAACGGTATATTCCTACTTTCTTTACCCAAAAGAACACATACAAGCTTTTACACCGAATTTAAAGCCCGGTGAAATCCGGTGCAATCGGCTCTTGCCTTATTTAAAATGCTGCTCCGACCCACTAGTATAGTTCAGTTCTTTATAGATAATTTAAAGTCTGAGGGAATCGGGTGCAAATGGAGAAAATTTTACACAAGGCACCGGCTCATTTCATCGAAATTCACCGGCCTTTAAATCGTATACAAATAGTTTAAATGTGTTCATTAGAGAAAAATAAGTAGGAATCTACCGTTGGCTTTCGTCCTGGGTGAATATTTATGGTGAAAAAGCATAAAAATATTTCAAAGTATTCTCACCGAATAAAGGATTGAGATCACTAGTTCAGTTATGACCAATTCGCTATGTTCACTGATGAACACGTGGTACAGTGGTAGAAACTGCATGCAGACGTCAAATGAGTAATGGGTCGATTCTCGCCTAAGAAATGTTTTATATTTTCGAGCACCAAGAAATTTTCAGTGGAAACTAATTCTTTTTTTTCTCCAAAAATTTTTTCTCAGGATGAAAGCAAACGGTATATTCCTACTTTCTTTACCCAAAAGAACACATACAAGCTATTTACACCGAATTTAAAGCCCGGTGAAATCCGGTGCAATCGGCTCTTGCCTTATTTAAAATGCTGCTCCGACCCACTAGTATAGTTCAGTTCTTTATAGATAATTTAAAGTCTGAGGGAATCGGGTGCTAATGGAGAAAATTTTACACAAAGCACCGGCTGATTTCATCGAAATTCACCGGCCTTTAAATCGTCTACAAATAGTTTAAATGTGTTCATTAGAGAAAAATAAGTAGGAATCTACCGTTGGCTTTCGTCCTGGGTGAATATTTATGGAGAAAAAGCATAAAAATATTCCAAAGTATTGTCACCGAATAAAGGATTGAGATCACTAGTTCGGGGGGTCTGTGGCTAAAATGTATATCAGATTTCAGTATACTTTTTAGCCACGGCAGTCCGTGGCTAAAAAGTATACCAGACTTCAGTATACTTTTAGCCACGGCGGTCGGTTGCTAAAATGTATATCAGATTCCAGTACACTTTTTAGCCACGGCGGTCTGTGGCTAAAAAGTATACCAGATTTCAGTATACTTTTTAGCCACGGCAGTCTGTGGCTAAAAAGTATACCAGATTTCTGTATACTTTTTAGCCACGGCGTTCTGTGGCTAAAAAGTATGCCAGATTTCAATATACTTTTTAGCCACGGCAGTCTGTGGCTAAAAGGTATACCAGATTTCTGTATACTTTTTAGCCACGGCGTTCTGTTGCTAAAAAGTATACCAGATTTCTGTATACTTTTTAGCCACGGCGTTCTGTGGCTAAAAAGTATGCCAGATTTCA